TCACCTTTAACCGAATTGGGTGAATATATCTCACATAATTAAAAAAGCTGATTTCGAACCCCTCTAACCCGTATTATTTGATACCTTATGTGTATACACTCACCCATCCACACATCCACACACACACACACACACACACACACACGAATATATTTTTGTGTGCATATGCCCGTTTAAGGCAGGAGCTTCCGACTGTCGCCTCTCGAACTGTTCCCTCCTTGTCTGATGCCGAAACTGCCGAACTATTGCGAGTGCTCGGAGCTGGCTCCTCCCAGCTTCGAGGAGGCGATGCGTCCGCAGGCCGAGGCCAGACCCGTCCGCCAGACGCACTCGTTGCCGTCGTCACCCGTCACTCCGCGACGCCACGGGCCAGCCGCGCTGCCCTCATGGACGCCGCCACCGCCGCCCATCTCGCCCGGCTTCCGACGAGTCCCGCTCTCCGTGCCCCCGGTCGGACACCGCCAACTGGCGCCTCAGCCGCCGCCGACGCTGTCGCCGGTCAGCGAGTCGGCGCTGTTCGAGCCCGCTCGCCGGCTTCTCCACCAATCGGCCCACCTCAGACGACGACCCATCACTCCGCCGCCGTCGATGCCGACTCGCAGAGAGCAGAACTCGCCGACGGACTCGCCAAAAGCCAACGCCAACGCCAACGCCAACGCTGACGCCGCGTTGGCAGCACCGATGATCCTGCGCCGGATCCCGTCCTACCACCTCTCGACGACCACGTCGAGCACAGAATGCACCGGCCCGGAAGACCGTGAGGACAGCGGGACATCGGCATTCTCCGATGCCGACTCGACCGGGTTCGGCCTCTCCGCGGAGTTCGACGGGTCTGGGTCGCGAGAACTCGACGCCTCCAAGTGGACCGATGACTCATGAGAGGCATCAGATCAACCGGTCGCCTGGAATAGACTGTTCGTCTGTCCCGGCGATCTTTTATTCCGAATCTTTGTTTTCCCAATCGCCGCCAACCCTCAAATGCACCCTTGCACGAGACTCTGCATTCACATTCGGCCGGAAAGTCGTCTTTCAACTCTTGCTGCGCGTCTTTTCACACTGGCTCTACTCACATTCTCAGGCGAGAAGGAGACAATCAGGCTTCAACCAGCCCATTCTAGGCGATGGCACCAAAAGATGCGGATACATGTGCAAAGTTTGCATGTAGTTATTGGTGTTAAAAGGCTTGAAGGTGTATATTTTGAGCATAAGCAAATGCTTTGTTGATGATTTATCAGGTTGGATTGGTTAACGTCGGCCAACGGAAACGCAAATACTGGTCGCTTTGTAGTGGTTCAGTGCTCCGAAATGGTGGGGGTGAATTGCTTACGTATCAGATAGTGTTCGTGGAAAAGTGCCCCAAGTCTGCGAGAAGCCTTGACTTGTTCGCATGAAGAAGAGATTCAAAGCTCGATCTCTACAAAAGAGATCGCGTTGTACTGCTGCCGTTTGGCTTTAATACGGCGTTCCGATTGACGCAGTCCTCGATACATGCTCCTCCGTTTCGGGTGAAAACGGGTTAAGCTTTCGTCCATCACATGATGGACAGGATTGGAGCTGGAATTCAGTTTCGTAAAAGTCTTACGTTGGCAAGCGCTAAATTGAAAAAATAAGACGTGTTAAC